GTGTGTGTGTGTGTGTGTGTGTGTGTGTGTGTGTGTGTGTGTGTGTGAGTGAGTGAGAGAGAGTCAGGAGGTGGGGGTTGCTTCACGCCTGGTCTCCTCCAGTAATAAGCCCGTCCTCTGGGTCTCGTCCTCTCCGCACACAGGTCCACAGTCGGGGGCAAAGGGCAGAAAATTCTCTCCAGATTGCTTTTGAAGTCCGAAAATGTATCCTCCCCAGTTCCTCTCTTCTTGTTTCATCTCTCTCTCTCTTTTTTTTTTTATCCGGCCATCCTGTCTGTTGATTTTTGGAACGGGTAGTGTGGATGGTGGAGGGTCAGAGGGCAAGTGACAGTGTAAAGCCCCAGGACAGATGTTTTGTTAAGATTTCTCTGGAGGAGATTGACTTACGGGAAATGATTCCTCCCGCAGACGGAGAATAACTCAGTGTGTTTGACTGCGTGTAACATGAGGCCTGCCAAGTGCACTGCAGTATTTCTGTCGCGTACGAGTCTCACTCGCGAGAAACAACTCATCTTATGTTTTCCAGATGTGCCTCAGCAGGCGATGACGGCCTTGTGTTGGTGTGGAATGTTGAGGTAATGTGCTGCAAGTTGATTAATACAGTGCATTGTGAAATTGTACACAACACAGCGGTGCTAATTGCTTTTCTCTTTCTGACTGTTAGACCGGGGAGAGGCTGCAGGAGCTGAGGGGCCACTCCCAGCAAATAACAGCCATAACCACTTTCACCTGTAATAACGGAGCCACATCGCACACCTCGCTCCTCACAGCCTCGTCAGACCGAAGTCTCAGTGTATCCTCAGACCCAAAGACGCAGCGAACACCGCTACATTTAAACACACACTGAAATCATTCACGAGTTATTGTTGTGTTGAACTTCAAGCTTGAGTTTCCTTAACGTGACTCGTCAGCTGTGGGACCCTGATACAGGCAACAGGGTTCAGACCATTTCAGACCTTCAGTCTTCTGTAAAGGTAAATGTGTTTGTTGAGAAACTGTTTTCCTTTTCTTTTTGCTTTTGTCGACACTTCTGCTTTGTGCAGTTTCTGTATTACGTAACGTTCCCTGACAAGAACATGTCTGAAATGCATCATGCAAGCAAATATTTTTCGTCTCTTAAAAATGGAAAAAGATCAAATATTTAAAGTAGTTTTGAAGGTTGTATCTGCACGAATGGACCATGCACACATAGAACATATACAGTGCGGCTTGGTCCTTCACAAGTTTGTATTGGCATGATGTATAATATACTAATTAAAATGTTTGACACAAAGGTTGTTCTGCCAGTTATGATTTAAGATAAAAATGGTAATTGCCTCCTCTTGATCTCACATTAAGGTTAATTACAGCATCCTAAGGCTAATTGTATTTGGTTCATTTTCTTCGCTGATAGTGTGTGTGTGTGTGTGTGTGTGTGTGTGTGTGTGTGTGTGTGTGTG